AAAGTCAGAAACCAAAAAGATATATTAAATATCTTTAAAGCTTAGATTAATAAAAGTCCCACTTTTATTTTTTATTATAAGCTATATAAAATTAGCATCAGAAAAATTAGTATTTTATAAACTACACTACACTATCCAAATATAAATGATCCTGGTGATGAGATAGAACAAAGAGACATATGAGAAAAGATAGTTAACAGCCTATACAAAGATAAGGTAATAATCTTTTTCCACTGAATTTCACTTTTGTAATTGTTCTATTTTCTGTTTGGTTTTTGAGACAGGGTCTCACTGTATAGCTCTGACTGGCCTCAAACTCACAGCACTCCACCTGCCTCTGCCTCCCAGAGTGCTGGGATGATAAGCATACACCACCACAACAGGTTTCAAATGAACTTCATCAGAGACTCAAGAAGAATTCACAAATCAAAACTTTTCTTCTTGTGTTTCTATGGAGTTTCAATTGATTCTGTTTATAATTAAGGAGATAGAAATTGACCAGGCAGCTCTCCGTTGACATGGCTACCCAAAATAAAAGAAAAAACTCCAACTTTCAACTCTGCAATGAAATATACTGCCAATGTGCCAATGGTCCTCTTCCCTCACAAGGACCACACTTAAGACTCCTAAAAGAGATTTTTTTTTTTTTAATGTTGGACAACAAAAACTACTCTGCCAAAAGCTATTATTCATAGTAGATTTACTGCCAGGCACAGTCGCATACACCTATAATTCCAGTACAGGTGAGGCAGAGGCAGGTGGATCTCTGTGAGTCCAAGACAACCAAGGGTACACAGAGAAACCTTGTCTCAGAGAAAAAAGAAAAAGAAAAAAAAAAAAAAAAAAAGAGCCATTACTGAATGACTCTTAAAACAGAAACCCTGAGAGACCATATAGCCTGAGGGAAACCTGTAAGGCTGTGCAGACCTGTCTGAATCTCAGTATGAGCTCTGGTGCAAACTAGCTAGGTAGTTTCTGTCTCCATGTGAATTCCTGTTTCCATGTGTCTTCCTTCTCCAGTATCAATCTCATTCTAAAGCACAAAGTAGCCTCATGCCATTTAATTCACCTGTTACTTCAAAATCACATGTAAATATTTTACATGCACTAAGCTTTTCAGGTCACCTCCCTTTTCTACAGACATGTACAAAAATCCTCAGAGAACTAGCCTAAGCAAATGGAACATGTGTCACATTTTTTATTTCACTGTACACTGGAGTAGCTGACATCTATTGCTTTTACAGATTTTCATGCAAGCAATCTATTTTCCTTTTAAATTGTTTTCTTTGTTTTGTTTGAGAAAAGCTCTCTCCATATAGTCCTGACTGTCCTGGAACTCACTATATAGACGGCTGGTCTCAAACTCAAGAGATCTACCTGCAAATGCCTCTTTCTAATATTTGAAAAAAGAAAAAAATCCCTTTTAGGAGAGCTGGGACTAAAGGCATGCATCACCATGCCTAGCTTACTCTCTGTCTTAATATAATTTATTATGTAGGTAATCTTACTATGTTCATATGAGGTGACATCACCACAAGCTGGCAAAGAAAAGTGAGCTAAGCAAACATGCAACATTTGCTGTTGCTGCTATTTTTAAATAACTTTACATAACAAGCATTACTTCTGTCAACCTCAACACAAACATAAAAATTCATTTTAAAAATCTTCTAATCAGTAATGTGACCCTTTCATGTATCCTATACAAACATTTCCATACACAAATCATACATAAATCAAATAACCAACCTCAGCCACAAAAAGTTAAAGATACTTCGAGTGGGCAAAGCCCAGTATTCTATACACTTTCATCATTCTACTATCCTGTCTCTCCTACACCAACTACTTGTTTCACATACACATTTCCTTAAATCAACATAAAATGCTACATTTTAACCTGACAGGACAAAACATTACTAAAATATAAACTATAAAAGTTTTAAATACAGCAGATCTTACCTCCCTGTATCATAAAATAAAAAGAGAAAAATCATTAGAAATACGCATTGCCTAAAATAACCTCTAAGGATTTAACCAAGAATATAAAGATTCTTCTTTTTGTATCTCAACAAGACCCCAAGAATACACAGTATGTTCACAACATACCTGCAAAATGAATAAACTACATACAAAGATACAAAAAACCATCAAGAATTTAAAAGGCTAGCAATGTTTAAGCTTTCTGAAACGAGGACACCCAAGATAAACACTCAGTTATGACTTCCATTAGATTGTCCATAGCACACATTATCCTCATGTCCTTGAGGTCTCAACCACAGGGTGAACCATTCTACAGAGCAAAATGCATATGCAATACCCATGCACAGCAGGTGTAACTACACATTAACACAATTGTTAGGAAACACAGTGACCACCTACAGGACAAGGCAGTGGCTAGGAATTCTTTGATAGAACTGTACCATCAGAGACTCTACAGAGACCCAGAACACATAGAATTACTGCTACTCTGAGCTGAGGCCAGCCTGGTCTAGAGAAGGGAGACACTACGTCAAAAAAAAAAAAAAAAAAAAAAAAAGAATTAAAACTACTCTAAAAGAATTCTTCTAGGGCTGGAGAGATGGCTCAGCGGTTAAGAGCCCTGGCTGCTGTCCCAGAGGACCCAGGTTCAATTCCCAGCACCCACATGGCAGCTCACAACTGTCTGTAATTCCAGGATCCAACACCCTCAGAGACATCCATGCAGGCAAAACACCAATGTGCATAAAATAAAAATAAATAATTTTTTTAAAAAAAAAGAATTCTTCTAGAACTTTTCCCAGAACCAATTATAAAAAACAAAAATGCACCCATCTAAAAATCCCAGTACTCACTTGGGAAACCTAGGCAAGAGTATTGCTACAAGTTTAAGGCCAGCCTGGACTACAGAGTCAGAAAAAAATAAAAGATAAAATGTCTATTGTTAACTAAAGCAGCACTGTTCAATACCATGTCCCAAATCTTATTCACAGGTCATTTGTTTCTAACATTTCATGTGTGAAGACAAGATGATTTACCACAAATGAAGACACTGGAAATAATTTAGCAAGATCTCCAAAAGAAATAATTCAGAAACAATAACCAGAACCTTACTAGGGATGGAAGTTCAGCATATAAAAATTGCTTCCTTGAAGAATGTGTTCTTGGAATTTAGGCAATCAGATTACATTTCTGCTTCTTTTTGAGACAATGCCCCACTCCACAGCCCCGGCTACCTACAACCCACGCTCCCCCTGCCTTGGCCTCACAAGTACCTGCGAGCCCAGCCAGACCCTATTTCTTTAAAAAAACAAAACAACAACTACAAAAAAAAAAAAAAAAAAACCTTTGTTCTCATGAGGAAAAGTTCACCTACTTGCCACCTTGCCAATTTAATTCTATGATTTCCCATTATCCTTGATACTAATTCATTGTTCTGGGTGATGTTTGTTAGGGGAAAACATCATTGTCCCCTTGGGATCTCCTCCATGGGTAGAGTGCTTGCTCCAGGCCCTGGGTTCCATGCCCAGCACTGTACAAATACAGGCAGAAGAACAGAAATTCAAGGTCATCTTCAGCTACCTAGTCTGAATTCCTGTCTCAAAACAATTTAAGTTATTACCTTTTTCTCCAAAATGAAAAATAGTAGAAAGAAATAAGTAACAACTACTCTATCTTTATAAAAGTTTTACTGCAGAATAATTATGTGCTGGACTCAGTTACAAGCAGCAATTTCAAGTGTCTTAACCCACATCATTTTTTTTCACCTAATAGTAAAATGTCTACAAGTAGCTATTAAGAAGTCTTTACTTCTGCATAAACTGTTTCCAATAAATTCTGTATTCAGCACATGAGATCTAAATTTTACATCTATGTTATATTCATTGTTATTTCAAGCCCATACTTAATTAATAAAAACAATTTAAATTAATATTTCAATAAGATCCCACTATTCCATAATAATCAAGAAAACTGACATCAGTAATTCAGAAACCATGCAAATTATGTTTCAAATCTAAACTTGAGGTCTACAGACAGTAGATACTACAGACAGAGGGATATAGGTCAAGAAAGAGATGTTTAGCATAGGTAAAAACTCAGTAAATAACAGTGGAAAGAAAGAAAAAAGTAGGGCTGTGGATGTCTCAAGTACAAGTCAGCAACCTGGATCTGCAGAACGCACAGTGCACATATGCACAATAAGTATGAAGCTAGACTATCCTGGTAGTATATGCCTTTAATCCCAACAGAGGCAGAAGGACCAATCTCTGGGATTTCAATGTCTGCCGGTCAACACAGAGTTCCAGACCAGCCAGAGCTACACAGTGAAACTCTGTCCAAAAAGAGAAAAAGATATATATATGTATGTGTGTGTGTGTATAAAGCTGTATCAGATCATCCTTTATGTAATTTAATGCCAAAATTGTACTGCTATATGTAAAATAAATATAGCTTCATAAAAAATAAAATAAAAATTGATACATGGGACTGGAGATATGTCTCAGCATGGGTGCTCTTCCAGAGGACCCAAATTTAAGTCTTGGCACCTTATATCTGTCTGTAACTCCAAACCCAGAGCATCTAATGCCCTCATCTTGGCCTTATGTGAACCTTCCTGTACCTTTTTGCTTCAAAATAAAAGGTTATAAGATTACTTTAAAATACAACAACTAGGGCAAGTGAGATGGCTCATTGGGTAAAGGCAACTGTGACAAGCCTCACCATGGAGTCCCACATAGGAGAATGAGAGGTCTCCTCTCCTGTAGCTGTCCTCTGACCTCCATATGTGTACCACTGCACATACATGTGTTATAAACAAAACACAATCTAATACAAACAAACAAGCAAACATAAAAGTCACAAAATATATAACCAGTTATCTAATAATACATAGTAGTTATTAATGTTCTACCTTCAAATCATTAAGTTACTCTAAAATACCCTTAAATTGCTGGGGCTAGACAACCTGTCTCTAAAATCTGCAACCCTGAAATTTAATCAATAAAATACATTCTGGATCTCATTACCTGTAATTTTATAGCCATAGGCAGCAAGCTGTCCAGCCATGTATTCTCCATCTGAATTATTATGTGAGCAGCCCCATGTTCGTATCCAAATTTTCTGTATGCCTGGAATAGTGCTGTTAAGTAATCAATTAAAACAAAGTGAGTATTTGAAAGTGGTTTTGAAGATAAAAGCCACTAGCTGACTTTAGGGCACATTACACAAAAAACAATTCACAAGCTAGTTACAAAATGCATCAAATTATTTTAAAATTTGCCGTTACAACAAAACTCTAAAATCAAGGGACAGTGAGCTAGCTCAGCGCTTGATCCCTGGAAAGCATGTGAAAGTAGAAGGAGAGAACCGAATCTACAGACTGGTTCTCTGACTTCACACATTCAACATGAAGGTCAGGGTCACACTTTGTACTGGCTTGTCTTGTCAGATAACACAAGCTAGAGTTATCTGAAAGGAAGAAACTTCAATTGGGAAAATGCCCCCATAAGATCCAGCTCTAAGGCATTTTCTTCATTATTGATTGATGGGGAAGGCCCAGCCCATTATGGGTGGTGCCATCCCTAGGCTAGTGGTCCTGGGTTCTATAAGGAAAACAGGCTGAGCAAGCCATGGGGAGCAAGACAGTAAGCAGAACTCCTGCCTCCTGCATGGCTTCTGCATCAGCTCCTACCTCAAAGATCCTGCCCTGTTTGAGTTCCCTTCCTGACTTCCTTCAATGATGAACACTGAGGTGAAAGCATAAGTTGAATACACCCTTTCCTCCCCTACTTGCCTTTTGGTCACAGTGTTTTGTCACAGCAAAAGAAAACCTAACTAAGACTTATACACATTATGCACAAAGACAAAATAATGGTAAGTATTTTAAAACTAAAATCTAGATAAAATAACCTCAGAATCACAAGAAGAATCTCTATATTGAAACAATGTGCTTTTGCTTGCCTTCTCACTAAATTTCAGTACTGGAAATGGGTTATCTCTAAATGAGTTGTTGGCCAAAGAGTCCTGTGGGAACCCCAAAACAACCCAGGCTATTGCCAAGACCATAGTACTATAGATTGTTCTCCACAAGCTTATGGTAAGGCCCTACTGCTGAAGAAAACACATACATAAATCTCTAGCATAGAGAAGTCCAGTTGGTGCTTACCTAGAGCCTTCACCCCTTCTGACTAAATGTCTATGGTACTGGAAGATACTGTGCATACTACTAAAGAAGGGTAAGTACTAACTGAGCTACAAATTCTCCCACCTACAGCTCCCTTTGGGTACTGCATATCAGGTATCCTACATATCAGATATTTACACTACCATTCATAACAGCAAAATTACAGTTATGAAGTAGCAATAAAATAATTTTATGTTTGAGTGTCACCACAACAGAAGGAACTGTACTAACGGGTCACAGCATTAAAAGTTTGAGAACTAGTACAATAGAATAGCACAAGGTCTGTGGTACAAATCAACTAGTATCTGATTGGATTTATGGCCCACTCCATAGATCAAACACATCCCCAACACTATTCAGGTAACCAACAACCTGAGACTAGATAGGCCAGGAACCTAGGGTAAAATCAAATACTGCTGCTCTGCTAAAAGAATGTAGCAATAATGACTCCTAATGACATTTCCGCTATATTCATAGATCAGTGCCTTTTTGTTCTAGCTTACTATATTTTATTTTTATTATCATACCTTAGAAGCCTGTTTGTTTTCTCATGAGAGAAAGAGGTTGGATCCAGATAAGATGGGAAATTGGGAGAAACTGGGAGGAGTAGTGGGAAGGGAAATCATAACCAGAATATATTATATGGAAAAAAAATCCATTTTCAATAAAAGGAAAAAATAATTTCAAAAAAAAAATTCAATTAAAAATAAATAAATAAACAAACAAATAAATAAATAAGTAAATAAATAGATGGATGAATAAATAAATAAATAATGTCCTTTTGGATCCATGTGAAGGTTTAGCAGGTAAAGGTGCCTGCCACCAAGCCTGATGACCTGAGTTCAATCCCAAGATCCACATGTTAGAGGAAGAGAACTGACTCCTACAAGTTGACCTCTGACACTTACTTACATGCTTCAGAACATGTGTTCAAGCATACCCACACACATAAATAAATAAAATGTTACTTTTAAAAATTTTACATACAAATAAAAAATGTCCTTTCAAGCTGAGTGGTACACACCTGTAATCCCAGCACTTAGAAAAGAGAAGCAGGAGGATAAGAAGCTCAGGGTCATCACTGGACCCAAGTGACAAGAGATCTTGACTCAAGAAAAGGTCTTCTCTGGACCGTAGTCTTAGTTCCTACCACCCACACCTCCTAACCACTGATTCAGCTGAAAGTCACACACAGGCACAATCGCACAGAAAGGGCAGCAGCAGTAGTAACACCCAAAGAAGAAGGAAAGCTGAGGAGATGGTGAGGTCCTTAAAGCTCTGCCCCCAAGTAAGACAACCTGACCAGGGAGGATGGGACTCCCAGCACCCAGATAAAAGTCAGGCGGAGAAGCAGGCATCTGTAACCCACAGCATGTTGGCAGAGAAGACAGAAGAATCACTGGAGCACACAGGCAGCCAGCCCGGCAGAACGGATAGATGTACCTTCCATGAGAGTTCATCTCAAGAAATACGGTGGAAAGCAATCAAAGATGCCTGATCTGATCTAGGGTATGTTCACATACACCATACATACATGTGCACACAGGCACCTGCATACTCTCAATGAACACATACACATGTACACAACACAAAAATATATATAAATAAAAAAAAACAAAGTCTGATGACCTATCTGCTTGCAGACTCTTAAAACACTAATTGCAATCTTTATCCATTTAAAATTTACAGACTAAAAATAATCAAAATTGAAAGTTACCCCATGATTCAAGTTACTCTATTCACAGGTTTCTAAAGGATTTATTTAGGAATTAAAAAAAAAAAAAAAAGAAAGAAAAGAAAAAAAGAAAAAGACTCTCTTAGATTGTCCTAACAATTTATAAGTAAACAGAAATGACAACAAAAACATGCTTGAGATAAATGTGACAAATTCCACTAACTAAAACATTCTAGATGCACAGACTTAAAAAGCTCAATAATCTAAACGAAGTAATCATTAAACCTGCCCACAATTACTAGATAAACAATTAGGAGCTAAAACTACACAACTATGCGATCGTTTCTATAGTATCATGTTAGACTCCTACTGCCTAGAATCCCACCACAATAGTATAAACAGGACAATGACTTTCTGTGCCCGGTGCCTTTGTCTGATCCTCAAGCATTCATTAATATGCTAAAAATAATCACATGTCCAAAACACTACTATCAAATAGGAATCACAAATTTCAATAAAATTTTTTAATTTGCAATTACAACAGATTTATACCAACTATAATAAAAACAATCCATAATGTCCTATCACCTTCCTTCAGTGTTTTGTTCTTAATTAGTTCTTAGAAAATTCTCTAAAATGTATTTTGATCACGTTCATTCTCCTAGCCCCTTCTACACCTACTCCCATCCACTTGGTTATTTTTCATTTTTTAACCTCTTGCCAGATTTGAAGTAATTCAATTTTTGTGAAGCCCTGTATTTCCAACTAAAAATACAACATGCTTAAAACTGGAGCTATTGCATATATGGTGGAGTTCAGCAGTGGCAGCCTCTCCCTGGCATGGAAGTGGGTGTCATTCTGAAGAATGCTTACCTGTCACTTGGTGGCATGGGCTCCTCTTGCAAGTATTTTTGGGTATTGCGCTTTCGTACTTTAGGAAACACATGTTTTCTTGAGAAATGTCTGTCTTGTGGGTTTGAATCTTCCTGTGACATGATATCTTCTATATCATCCAGCAGCACATCGCAAGATGGAGAAGGCATCTTTTGCAGCACATAAAAAAGTTACAAATAGCATGAGCTTAGCACTCCAACCTTATCTCTCCAACCTTGAATCTAACTGACTCTTTAAAGTCTTAGTTCACAGAAAACATTAGAGGATAAGCCCACATAAACAACTGTGCAAGTCCTGCAGACAGTGGAACATCCCAGAATTGATCTGAAACTGTTATAACTTATACCATGAAGGGAAAAGTAGGACAGGATCTTTTCATAAGAAAGGAAACTGAAAGCCAAACAACTCATATCAGCCCCTGCTGCTGAGGCCAGTGACCAGCAAGGCCTCTAGTGCTGTGAGGAAATCACAAGCATAGCCTTCTGAAGGAATTGGTCTACCTGCCTTTAAGACCAACTGGTAAGGCTGGAGAGATGGTTCAACAGATAAGCGAACTTATTGCTTTTGTAGAAGTCCCAGGTTCAGTTCCAGTACCCACATGAAGGCTCACAACCAACATGCCCAGCTCAGGGGATCTGGCAACTTCTGATCTCCTTGGGGCCCATGCACACTTTTGGTCCACATACATGCATACAGGCAAAACATGCAAATACATAAGTTATATATAGTGAGTCATACACATACACATACACTGGAGAACTCTGCCAATCAAAACTAGTACTAGTAAACACTTACAAAATATTACTCTAATATTAAAACCAAATAAAGACAACACACAAAAAAGAAAACTACCAGCCAATATCCCTGACAAACACAAATGTTAAAATCACAAATAAAATACTTGCAAACCAAACACAGGTATATATCAAAAAGATTAATTTGGTTTTATCCCAGAGATACAAAGATGGTTCAGCATACATTAAGTTAATAAATATAATAAATTATATAAATGAACTTAAAAATAAAAATCACGTGATCATCTCAACAGATACACAAAAGCCTTTGACAAAATCCAACATGCTTTCATGATAAAAGTCCTAGAGAAGGAGATAGAGAGATAGTTTATCAAATAAGAAAGCCTGTTGCTCTTGCAGAGGACCTCAGTTCCATTCCCAGCATCCACATGGTGACTCAACTCCAGTTTCAGAGAATCTGATTCCCTCTTCTAAACTCCAAGGGCACAAGGCATACATGTGGAGCACATATGTACATGCAGGCAAAACATTTATACATATAAAATAACCATGAAGAAAAAGGAATAAATTGAGGTTGAAGCTTAGTAGTAAAGAGTCTGGGCTGCATGGCAGTTCAGTATCCAAGTGGGTTCCATTGTAATAGGAACAGGGACTGTCTCTGACATGAACTGATTGGCCTGTTCTTTAATTACCTCCCCCTAAAGGGGAAGCAGCATTACCAGGCCACAGAAGAAGATAACTCAGCCACTCCTGATGAAACCTAATTGACTAGGATCAGAAGGAAGGAAAAGAAGTCCTCCCCTATCAGTGGACTTGGGGAGGGGCATGCATGCAGAGGGTGGAGAAAGGGAGGAATTGGGACGGGAGGAGGGAGAGAACCACAGGGGGGACACAAAGTGAATAAAGTGTAATTAATAAAGGAAAAAAAAGAGTCTGGGCTGGTAAACACTGTGGTATCTACCACCTATTAACTTTCCTCATCAGGTCTTTTGAGCCAGTCTTAAGACTATATATCATCAGCTGGGCTCAGTGGCACATGCCTGTAATCCCAGTGCTCAGAGAGACAGAGACAGGTGGATCACTCTGAGTTCCAGAACAGCCAAGCCTACACAGAGAAACCCTGTCTCAATAAAACCAAAGAGAGAGAGAATAACCTGCCTTCAAGCCTATCTGATGAATTTCTCTTTTATTCATTTATAAAAGTCCCATCTTTCTGTTCATATCATTCAATTAACAGAGTGGCTTCCTATCAGGCCTATTTTTGCACCTGGTATTTGTAATGTACATTTTAAAACTTTAACAGATTATGAGTCATCATTTAAACCTCTATTTAAATCTCATCCACTTTTATAGTGTTAGTAAGAGGAAAAAAGAGTGAGATGAGCACCCACCCTTAAGACTGTTATGGTAATGAGCATGTCACATGGTCAGTCAATCCCCACCTTTCCTAGACAGTGATTGGTTCAGTCAGTCACAACAAGCCCAGCCATCCAGAAAGGACTTTTACACAACAGCTGACAGAAGAGATGGCTTCACTTTTCACTCAACTGGCTGTCAACTGGAGGTACAGGCTGTCTTTCCTGGCACAGAGAAGGCACCTACTTAAGGAGAGAAACCTAGCAGGAGGTACAGACACAAAGAGCTGGACTGACAGCATTTAACCACAGTGCACAGACTGGGACTGTGAAGAACTGCAGGAAAGCAATTTTTCACTGACCTTAGGAATTTTCTTAACAAACTCTTAAAGAAGAGAAGTGGGTCTGAAAAATAATAATAATAAAGGCCCAACACATACCTCAACCCTCCTACATCCCACACACAGAGATACTTCCTTCTTTTACTGGAAAATGATTTTTCTGCCTTGTGCTCTTCCTTCCAATCTGTCACTGAGTAAACTGCTATAAGCCTACTACTCTCCAGCTTGAGCATGAAGGCCTGACAATGCTCCCTTCTCCCTGCATTATCATGAGCTGCCTCTCTACTGAAAATTCACTACCTGGAAGCAAGCATTCTGTTACTTCTTCCATTGAGAAGACAAAAAAAAAAAAAAAAAAAGAAACCATCTTCTTAGCTCCCCTACAGTTATCTCATTTGAAGAAAAGCTTCTTTAAGAGTCATCTGTGTAAAAGAAACTTATTTGCCTGTTTCAGCTGTTGTCTCGGGGGCTTACCCCCTCTGTCTGCTAACCTAGGACTAGTCCTGGAAGCTTCTAGCCTCCGAACAATCAAACCTAGGCTTAGAATGTTTTCAGACTCTAAGACTTACTGCTTAATAAGCTCACCCTTTCTTGTTCTTTCTGAGCTCATAGCTGGTTGGTTCAATTCAACTGTCTGACTCAAACTTCTCTCCCAGCAAATTTATTCAATCTGGCCTTTCTCACAGCCTCTGAATTGTTCTGCTTGGCCTCAAACTAACTCCAGCAATCTTTTCTAATCTTCTGGCTCCTTCTCTTTCTTTGGCTCCTTCTGTCTTCACCTGTGTCTAACCTGTGTTCTCTCCCTGCAACCTCTCTCTATTACTGTCCCAGTTAAACTGCCTCCTCTCTCTCCTCTTTCTCTCTCTCTCTCTCTTCATTGCCTATTAAGTAGCTTCCCTTTCCCCTTTCTTCTCATGAGAATTGGGTGCATCCTATTCCATCAACTCGTTCTCTGATTCGTCACCTTATCTGCCACTCAATTAGGCATCACTTTCAAACATGGGTGCTTCATTCTATAAACTATCTTTACCTTCATTGTTTTGGATTAAAGAATCTACCACCACACCTGGACCTAAGCTTTTCCTTACCTGACACTTGCTTTATACCAGGCTGGGCTTAAACCCATATCTGCTTTGCCTCTGTCTCCTGGATTCCAGCCAGATCATATAGACCTAGAAGGTCTTTGGATGTGACCTCTTGCCAGAACAGTCATGTTCCGAATTAAAATTCCTCTAAACATCTGTATTTCCACATTGATCCCCCACCTCCATTCAGACTGTAGCCATCAATCATCCATAATTGTCTGATTTCAATGGCATGCAAAATGATATACAATAATTGATTCTCAGGCATTTTATGAGACACAATTTGCAGCATATGACAGAACCAACCTCCCTCCATAGGCATCAGGATGCCACTCTCCTAGGCCTCCTAACCACAGGCCACCCCTCGTGTCTTTCTCTTGCTGCTCAATCCAGCTTCTTCACCCTGGAATAGAGCAAGGTTCCATTATAGGAGTTCCTTCTCTACAGTCACTGCCTGGTGATTTCATCACTCTGAGGCCTTGAAATACCAACACTGTGTTTATATAACCAGCCTGCTCTTCCCCTGAACCTCACACTCAGATGTTCAACCGCTTATTGCACATCACAGCCTGGGTGCCTCATGACAAAGCAAACTTTACAGGTCAAAAACAGAACTCCTGGTCCTCTCCCTATCTCCTAGAGCACCTCACAGCTTTCCCTTTTTCCTTTAAAGGCAATGCAAGATGCTAAGGCGCAAAACACTAAAATTATTCCCAGCTCCTTTTTGCTCTCTCCCTAAATCCAAGCCACCAATAAAATTCTATTGGTCTCTTTCAAAATACACTGAGACTCTGCTGGCGACCATTCCCACACATTTGATATTCATGACCCAAGCCATCACTTTTAAATATTTTTATTACATGTATGGTGAGTGTTGGAGTGCAGGAGTGCTGGGGCAGACTTGGCATGTGCCATGGTATCTGTATGAAGTTCAGAAGACAACTTGCAAGAGTCACCAAGCCCCTTACTACATCCCCATATTTGCAATCACCCTTTCCTAATCTTGTTTTTGTTGCTGTTATTGTGTGAAGTTTTATTTGTTTGGTTGTTTGTTTGTTTGTTTGTTTGTTTTCCTTTTTAACTGCAGTACTTAGTCACCTGCCCAGATGTGTTTTACTCTCCTTCTGTTAGAATACATAGTCAGTAAGGGCACAAACTTTGTGTGCTTTGCTCACTGTTTATCTAAGGTACATGAAACTGTATCTAACAGCCTGCAGCTTTTCACCACAGACCATCCATGGGCCTGGCTACCTCTGAGCTACTTTTCTCTTTGCTATAAAAAGGTGATTATTTTGGCTCATAATTTGAGAAGATACAGTCCATCCAGAAAAGAAGGTTTCATGTTATTAGGTGGCTATTACATTGTATCTAGTCAGGAAAGGGAGAGATGAATGCTCATGCTCAGCTGGCTTCCTCCATTTATACTTCTTAACCAGTCTTAAAATCTAGCCCATGGTGCTACCCTCCTTCAGTTTGGTCAGTAAAGATGACCCATCACAACTTCCCACTGTTGGGACTGTTGGGACTGTAGTCAGTCTGTGTAAGCCTAACCACTTGCAAGGCTTACTGGAGTACAGGCCTTTTCCCAACCACCTTGGCTACAATGACCACAATGCCAAGGGCACACAATCTAACTTTGTAAGTAGGCTGCATTTTTCTTCACGGAACTAACTACCTGATATCACAGATAACGGCACTTCTTTCAAACTGTAACCTAACATTAATAAGCAGTAAATCGTCATCTCACCTTCACTGCCAACAGCTCCAACAATGCTAGCACACAGCAAGCATTTCATATTTAATGACTAAATACATGGATAATGCTTGATAATGGAACTCAAGTAATCTTTCCATAACACAACAGAAAATTCTTACATGGGAAGGGAATCTTCGATAAAAACTTAATCCCTTGGGTTTCTTCTATCACTATTTGGTTTTTCAAGACAGAGTTTCTCTGTATAACAGAGCCCTGGCTGTCCTGGACTAGCTTTGTAGACCAGGCTGGCCTCGAACTCAGACACCCTCCTCCCAGTGGCTCCCCAGTGCTGGTATTAAAGGCATGTGCCACCACACCTGGCCCTCTTCTATCACTATTATCCTACACAGTAATAGTGAGAAAGGCTAAAGCCAGAGAGAACCTCTGAATGTTACTGATAACCACTGAAGGATTGCGCATAATTAAATGGCGTTTTAAAAGTCGAAGTTTCTTTCTAAAAGTTATACAATTTTTACATCTTATAAGTAACTGTGCATAGATCCATTGAAGGAAAATATAATTTAAAAAACCAGAGATAAAAGAAGGCAATACCTAAATCACTTGGTATAGAGTTAGGGAGCCTGTCGAGTACATTATTTACAAAGTTAGCATCCAATGAAGCTAAAGGATTTGTAAACTGACAGAATCAGGTTTAGACCTCTCAATACAATGCTTTTCCCATACACTGGGAAAGCACAAACCATGTAAAAGTTTAATGTAACACTGAGGACTAAATATATCCCAGAAAACAGAAGACTTATTTAAGAAAATGGTCAATAAAAACAGGATCAAATGCTCAACTACACAAACACTAAATAATTAAACAGTGACTTATCTATCATCTACCTTGATGAGAAATTAGATTGGCAATATCCTTATGGTTCCCTAAAAGCATGGCACATCTAGTATACTCTTTCTGTGGAGCCACCTGCCAATACCTCTCAAACTTTACAAAACATACATCTTTCATGTAGCAATTCAATTACTAGACTTTCACTCTAAGAAGCCAAACAAATGTAATGTAATACAGACATTCCTTAACCTGACTGCATAGCATAATCACTTTCACAATCTCATTCTTCACTATGAATAAGCTAAACTTTTTATACATCACACAAGCTAGAAGATAGAAAGCTTTAAGTCCTCACAAACATTTAAGTATCATGAAAATGAATTTTAGGAAAATAAAGTAACAGTTAAATAAGGCAAAAAAGGCTTCTTAAAAATTCTTCTCAAAAGAACAAAAAGTCAAGTTTCATAGAAGGATAAAGATAGAAAAGATAGAATATGGTAGAGTAGTGGTTCTTTACATGGGTGAATTCTTAAGGGACTTTTCATAATATCAAATACCCAGAATGATGAATTTCCAGTAACAACAGTCCTAGATCTTGAGGGCTCATTCTGGTTCCCTAAGGAGCTTTTGCAAATTACTACCAACAATATGAGTTCAAGAGGGAGAGGAACAAATGAAAGAGGAAAGAACAGAGCAAATGACCAACAACTAAGCCCTCGGCCAGCTGAATTACTATCTAGGAACAGAACCTAAGCATCAATATGTTACTCTAAACTCCCAGCAATTCTCTTATATGCAGCCACAACTGCAAATCAATGTGCAACATTAGTAGTTTTCACAACGTAATTCCCAGAAGAGCCAGAGTAGCATCGGGTGGAACTAAACAAAGTCTTATTCCCTCACCATAGCCACGCTGAATCAGGTATTCTGAATAAAGCCAGGATCAACACACCCTCCAATAATTTTGTTTGATAGTCACTGTTCTGGAGTTATTACTTCATAAAAACTGACTAGAGAGTGTGTCAAAGAGATGTTACTGAATCAAGTGATTTTAATGGGAAAAAGAGCAGTCTTTTCAAAAAATGATACTAGAACAACCAGACAGCCACGCACACAAAGAAATGTACCTGGAGCCTCATCTCACCTCATACTCGGAAATTAGCTCAAAGGGGGCTAAAGACCCTAATATTATGAAAGTCTTATAACTATAACAAGTGTAAATTTTCCCAATTAGACACTGGTTTCTTAGTTATGACACCAAAAGCACAAGCAGCAAAAGGAAACAACAGGTTAGACTTCATCAAAATTAAAATGTTTGAGTCAGACACAGGGGCACATGCTTGTAATTCTGGCACTTGGGAAGTAGAGGCAGGAAGATTCAAGTATTAAAGGATATCCTCAGATACAAATCAAATTTGAAGCTAAACTGGGCTATGGAAAACCTGTTCTCAAAAAGAAAAATTATAATAATAGTAATAATTTTTATGCTTCAAGGACAACATGAAGAGCTGAAAAGACAGCCCAGGCAGCATGAGAAAACAGAAATTCATATAATATGATATGCGCCTCATGTCAGAGTAAATAAAGAACTCAAAAATACAAACAACCCAAACTAAAATATGGGAAAGGGATTTGAACAGACATATTTCCAAAGAACACATATAAGCATCTGATAAGCACAGGAGAGCCACCAATACAATTAAACATGAGGGAAAGACCATTCAAACCCACAAAAACTTCGCACTCATGGGGACAACCAGAATCAGAAAGGCAAGTAACCATGCTAAGAGCAGTGAGTCACATCACACAGGGAGAGAAAAATAATCAGGCCTGGCATGGTGGTGCACAGCTTTAACATCAGCACTTGGGAGCTTTGTCTACATACTGAGTTGCAGACTAGCCAGGAATATATATTAAGACAATGTTCTGTTTTTCTTTTCTTTCTTTTTTCCTTTTTTTTTTTTTCTTTTAACTTTTGGTTTTTTGGGACAGAGTTTCTTAGCGTAGCCCTACTGTCCTAGGCTCTCTCTGTAGACTAAGCTGGCCTTGAACTCAGAAATATCCGCCTGCCTCTGTCTGCTGAGTGCTGGTGTGGGTCACCACAACACCACAATAGGCAACAATGTTCCAAAAATTAAAAAAAGAAAGAGAGAGAGAAAAAAGAAAGATAATTTAGCTATGAGCGATACAGAAACAAACCTTCAAGAATGTAATATTTGGCCTGGAGAGATGGTTCAACAGTTAAGTGCACTGATTGCTCTTCCAGAGGATCTGGGATCAATTCGCAGCACCCATACAGCATCTCACAACTGTCTGTAACTCCAGGATCTGACACTCTCACAAAGATATAAATGCAGTAAAACACCAGTGCGCATAATATAAAAAATAAACTGTTTTTAAGAAAAAGCGAGCCAGACACAGTAATCCTATTATTACCTGTAATCCTAGAATTCTGGGAGGCAGAGGCAGGCAGAGCTCTGTGAGTTCAAGGCCAACCTGGCCTACAAAGTGAGTCAAGGACAGCCAAGGCAACACTGAGAAACCCTATCTCAAAAAACAACAAAAAATAAAATAAAATAAAATAAAAAATAAAAAGGAGAAAGAGAGAGCCGTATTTAACTGCCAGGTAGAGAAATAGGATATACAGAGACTAAGAAACAGCCAAACAAGAAAATCGATGTGCCACAAACAGCAAAGGAAGAGAACAGGTCCATGCTACTTAATGAAAATGAAGGATTAAGGAAAAAATAAAAAAATGTCTCTCCGCTTTAGCTATATAGAAATCTAGTTTTCACAAAATGATGGTGACTAATTACTAAGAAGTTGGGACATCTTTTCATACTCCAATGCCAGAGTGATCACTCAAACGTAAAAGATTTTTAAAAACCAATACCTTGATTATCTGAAATCGCTCTCAGGTCCTCTTGAAAGACGAATCTGGAAAATTAAAATTAATTAGAAATTGAAAGTATCCTGGGAGTTCACAGAAGACCTCTTTACAACTTCCTAAACAAATAAAAATGACGCGCCTGGCCACTATGAAAACTGTTACCCCGCACTGCAATGCCTGGGCACAGTGTAATTCGCCAGAAACAAGTGTTGTCTTGAGTACAAAAAGTTTTCTAAGCAAAGGGGCGAAGCAAAAAAAAAAAAAAAAAAGGGGGGGGAGTGACCTGCCCTTATAACCCAGCTTCAGTATAAAACCCTCATTTACCGAAATTCTCACCACGTAGCACAAGTACACTCACGAGAAAAAGTGAGGAAAGAAACGAGGCTAGACCAGACGTAAGTCCCTGACTACGCCAGCATCACCTGCGGCCGCTCCGGGCCTCCGAGTCCCCGAGCCAGCTGCAAAGTCTTTTCCAAACTGCGAAAACAAGAGAGCGATCGGCCCAAAGAGGAAAAATCTGTGGAAATGAGGCTCCGCCAAAAAAAGTAGCGCGGCCCACAGTCGCTGGGTATTGGTACATTTGTCTCGAGTATCCACAAATCCGCAGACTCACCTGTCCAAAGTGAGAGAAACACCACTCGCCACTGTCAGGAAACTGCACAGACTTCAGATGGAGCGCGCCATGACACTTGTATCCCGCCGGGCTTATTTGCGCATGCTCCGCGACGGTGGCCGGGAGAGGTCCAAATGAGTCATTGTTTCAAGTTTGCGTTTGGTATTAATTTTGTAATTGTTGCTAAATTCTTCTACAAAGGAAGACAAAAATACACTCCTACGTCATTATGTTCTCAAAGTGGCTTATCAACTAACTACTGCTGAGATGTTATAACCTGTCCTGCACAGTTTTAATATAAACATTAACAGAAATTAACATAAACATCTTGCCATTATTGCTATTCTTCATTCACAAAAAAAAAGAAGCTTGAAAATTTAAGTACTTACCAGAGTAATTACGTCGCAATAACCCTTTTCATTACATCCATTACATTTTACCAGTTTCCTCCTTTTCTGTCTGTCTGTCTGTCTGTCTGTCTACCTACCTATCATCTCCATCTCCTTTGAGACAGCATCTCTCTATACAGCCCTGACTGACTATCTTGGCACTCACTATATGAACAGGGATAGCCTCGACCTCAAAGAGATCGGCCTGCCTCTACCTCTCAAATGCTGGAATTAAAAGCATGTACCACCATGCCCGGCTAATTTCCTTCATTTCTATGGAAAATCACAGGCAAGGAATGGTTGTTCTACTGAATAACACAAGTCATTTAACACCAAGCAATTTAAATGGGGGTGCTCTTTGTTTCTAGGAAAACTTGGGGGTTCTTGTTTTTATTTGCTTGGATTCAAAATAATAATGATAATATTAATATTCATAATATTAATAAAGTCTTAATTAGGTAGTCCATCCTCAAGCTCTTGCTCCTGCTGCCTGCCTCTGCCTCCTACTACTGACCCACCACATTAGACTTACATTTCTGCTTCTGCAGAGACAATTAAGCCTAGGCAGTACAATTTCATTTAGTAATCCCATAAGAATACTTGAGAAGAAACCCTTATGCTTTCTTTACCAGTAATGCATAATTTTAAATACAGCGAAAAGAAAAGAATGATATGAAAAATACAGACTAAAATCCTTATGTTTTCAGAGTGATGCAGATTTTTGTTGAAGGGCAAGTGGTTTGGGTTTGATCTCTTTGAGGTTTTAACAGTCCCTATATTGGGGCCCGGGGACTTTTGCAGGCTAAGCAAGCACTGTACCACTGAGCTATCTCTCCAACCCCTAGTTTTTGTTGTTGTTGTTGTTGTTGTTGTTTTGTTCTGTTTTTATTTTTGTGGGGTTTTTTTTGCCTCCATAGTGAAAATTGAAAGGAAAAAAAAAATGTGAGCAATAATGAAACCAGTGAATTCTTACTACTCTCAATAGAAAATGGAAAAATAAATCCAGAGATTATAAAATTTAGAAACAAATTAGTTTATAATCTTAGCAAATACCAGTTGTACTAATGAATTTAAACTAATCAATAACCTTTTCATGAGACACAATCTGTGTGTTTAATTTGCTTTTAGAAACGTGCATATGAATTGCTTATGCAGAGATTAGATGAACATAATAGTGGCAGACTCAAGACAGATTAATCTACTTTCTAGGTGAACAGGACAAGCATGGGTGCTCTTAATTTATGAAGTTCAGGAAGTTGCCATGCATTCGGCAAGTATGCTGTGGTTTACATTGACTTTACATCCTATAACAAAATCCAGCTCTGATTTCTTAAGCAACAAGGGGTTGGGGTTATACACAAGAATTGATGTTGGATGCAAAGACTGAAACCAGGTATAAGAAATTTGACAGAATAAAGCTCTCTTGGCTGAAAACAGTAATTTTGGGGAAATGTGGAGTTTGAGACACCGTTTCTTTGTGTAGCCTTGGCAACACTTTGTAGACCAGCTGGCCTGGGACTCACAAATATCTGCCTGCCTCTGCCTCTCTGAGTGCTGGGATTACAGGTGTGCACCACCATGCCAGGCACAACAGTGATTTTTAAGAAAGTTTTTTGTTTTGTTTTTTTTTTGTCCAAGAGTTGGCTGAACCCAACAGAAAAGAGTGATAGTAGGAACAAAAAGAAAACACAAGGAATACTATATCAGTGTCAAAAGAAACATTGCTTCAAGTGGATGAGTGCTTCAATATCTAGAAAAAGAGGGAGACACAGAAGTTCTTAATGATAGCAGATAGTAAGACTTGAAATCACCTGCTGTCTTTGAAGGAATACCAAAGGGCCATCTTATAAAGTAACCGCTAGAGGTCAGAGTGCTGTACCTCTGACACCAGCTAGTCTGCTCTACCATTCCACAGGGTTCCTATAATTCTATAATTAGTTTTCGCTTTTCAGCCTCCTGCTCTCAGCATGAGTAGTTAAGAGGCTATGCAAATGGCCTGTAACCCTTTGCCAGAGCAATGAGAACATCACGCTCCCTTGCCATAGAGCAGGTAACCTACCCAGACCAAGAATTCTGGTCATCTGCAAGAATCTAATGCCGGCTCAAAGGGCCACCACAAGGAAAATAAATAAATAAATAAAATATTCATTAATTAATTGATACCTGCCCAAGAAGGCTGTTTCAAAGTAAAATTAGAAGTGATGGTGAGGGGGAAGTAAAACAGTAAATTCTAAAGATAATTTTAAGACCCCTGCTAGCCAGCATACCGAGAGCTGGCTTTATTTCTAGTTACTCAATTCTGTGAGCAAGTGAATTGCTACATTTTTCCCTTAAAACAATCCAAATGCATTTCTAATTCTTGCAACCAAAAGAGTTCTATCATCTGTTGTTGTTGTTGTTGTTGTTGTTAATAATGATGATGTTTAGGCTTTGACTTTAAATTTATTGAGACAGACCCTCATAAACCCAAAACTGCTGGTTCCAAACCTACTGTGTATGTAAAAATGATCTCAAATTTCTGACACCCTCCCCCACCTCCACTTCTCAAGCTCTGGGATAAAAGGCATGCACCACAACACATTAAACTTTTTCTTATATATTCTCTCAATGATTTAAAAAAAAAAAAAAACAGACTCAGCTGGATGCGATGGTGCTTGTCTTTAATTCCACTCATGGAGGAAGATGCAAATGAGGAAATGTGAGTTTAAGGCCAGCCTGGCCTACAAAGTGAGTCCAGGACAACCAAGGTTACACAGAGAAACCCTGTATCAAAAATAATAATAATAAAATAAAAAATAACTCACATCCATTATATAACATTCTCGTGGTTTATAAGTATCAGCAGGAGACATGTCTTTCATTTCTGTCCTAATATATGACTTCATAGAGAATAAATTTGTTGTTGTGGGGAATGCTACTCAGTGGTATTAGTCACAGGCCTACATCGCCAGGTTGAATATTCACTGCTACAAACACAATAATGATAACACAAATTGAGTTACAAAATTTTTACTACGTGGATTCAGGATACTAAGGACTATTCTAAGTGCTCAGGAAATGAAACGCAGCAGTCTCCTGACTTAAGAGGGTGGCAGATACATGCCAGCAGACACAGACAAGATATAATATAGCCAGGTGTGGTGGCGCCCTGCTTTAATCGTAAGACTGGGAGGTGGAGGTGAAGTGAGTTTCATGCCGGCCTGCTCTACATAGTGAGTTCCAGGCCAGCCAAGGTTACATAGTGAGACCCCATGCAAATAGTGCAAAGCAAGAGAGGAAGATACGTGATACTGACTTCTGACCTCCACACAGGCACGAGCAAGCACTCAAAACACACAATGATATAAAGTTATGTTCTTTCTTTCTTCTTTCTTTTGACAATGCTTCACTGTGTAGCTCTGGCTGGCCTAGAATTCACTATGCAGACCAGGTGTTGGCCTTCCTGATGAGGTGGGAAGGTGTCCAGGAAACCCACAACTCTGAAGCCTGGGAAGGTATTCCAATGGAACAGCATCCTGAGATACAGGAACCACACAGCTCTGAGGTGGGGCAGTGTCCCAATGGAAGCGCAACTCCTCAGCAGAGACACTGCAGCTCCCAGGGGAGGATTTCCCCAACCTCTGAGGAGCTGAGGCGCTCAGAACGCTTAGAAGACTGAATCCGGCTCCTTTTTTGCTTTTTCTCTTCTGGGCCTTTGGCTTCCTCAATGAAAGAGTCCCACCAGGCAGCAAATCTCTTAAAAGAGATTTATTGGGGGGACTAATCCAGGAGTGGCTTCCTCTGCTCTCGTCTGAAGACAGGCGAGAACAAGGCAAGCACAGCCTTTATATAGGATTATAGGGGGCAGAGCTTTCTAGGGCAGAGATTTCCAGAGTGAAGATTGGTGGGATTTCAATTCCCGAGCTTGGGGAAGCTTAGGGATTGGTGGGTTTTTGTTCAGCCTTTCACCTAAAATTAGCATAAATATGAGAGGGTCCCGCTGAGGGACTGGAGATGGTCATTGTGACAGTTGGGGGCTAGAACTGCCAGTTTGACAGTTAGAGAGGCGTGGGGGGTTAGTTTTGCACAGACTTGAACTTAAACTTAAACTAAATAACTTTCCTTGAACTTATACTAAGGGGTCAGATTCCTAATTCTAGTCTTTGGCTGACACTGTCAGACCAAGTAAAGCTCCCTGCCATGGAGGAATGGCTAGTTTATACGTTGTTGCCATAAAAATGGAGCCTAAGCTCTCGGACTAGCTCCGCTTGAACGCGCCTCACTCCCCCTGAGTTCGCTGCCATAACTGAGCAGCAACCATAACTGAGGCCTCAAGGGCTGCTTTCTCTGTGGCTTCAGCTTCTCAGTTTCTACAGGTGTCCCTAGGTTGTGGGGATTTAGCTTTATCAGCTCTGGAGTCTTGGGGTATTACTGTCCAAAGGTGGAGAGAGGCCAGCAGCACAGCCTAAAGATCTGAGTACCTCTTTCAGGGACCACAGGGGTGGCAACCAGGGAGCCCAACTGCCGAATAGGGGACACACAAGGAAAGATGTAGGGGAAGCACAGAGGCAAAACTTGAAGCTGTCCATCCTGGCTGCTGAAGCTCCTCGGCAGGGTCCCAGACACTTTCCTCCAAAGTATACAAAGTTTACAAAGTATGTAAAGTAAACAAAGGGAATAAGGCAAGAAATAGCCAACACCAGGCTGG